ATCTGCTGCAAGCGGCCCAGCAGGGCGTCAATGTTGGACTTGATCTGTGTCAGCTCTGTCTTGATGGTCTGCAGCTCACTGCTCTGGAACTTGACCTTGGCTGAGCCGCTGCTGATGGCTGTGGAGCGGGCAAAGAGCTTGACAGGTATGGTAGTTTTGACGCATCGGACGAAATGGACTGTGACCTGGGGTCGCTTCACAGGGACCGCCCTGGGCACTAGCACAGGTGACGGATGTCCCCGAGAGTCGAACAGCCTGTCACAGAAGTCGTCCCGGTAGTAATCAAAGTCAAAGCTGTAGCCACTGGATATGGCAGATGCTGCTCTCTTGAGCCCCTGGGGTCTGTTGGGCTTGGGTTCTCCGGCCATGTTGATGTCCAGGGTCTGCCCGGCTAGCACTCGCCCGTTCTCTCCCAGCACAGCTGCCCGGGCATGGCGCTCGTTGGCATACTGGACAAAGGCATAGCCCTTGTGCACGGCGCAGCCGGCCACACAGCCATACATGGAGAAGATGGTCATCACAGCTGTGTTGAGGTTTCCAGCGAAGACCTGCGAGTTGATGGACTTGGGGTCATTGTTGTTGGTTACGTTGCTCGTCTGAATCTTCAGGGACATGGTGGCCACCAGTACCACCGCTGAGTCAGCTGCTATTTCCTCCCTTGGGTTACAGGGTCAGCACCGGCTGCCTAAGGAACAGGACTTGCCTGCGCTGAGAGCTCGAGGAAGCTGCGCGACTGCTTTGTCCTTTTTATAATTTTGAACTTCGTCCCACATTTTACACCCACTTTATCCAGGACGACCGATTGTGAGCCGTGTGGAGTCAGCTGCGGTCACTGGGCATCATTTAGCTCCGGTGGTCTCGGGGTGGGGAGGCTGGATTTCTTGTCGCGAATTCCTGTCCTTGGGGGTGGTTTCGGAGCATCTGGGTTTTCTCCGCTCTATGCGGCAGACAGGGAGTGACCGACCCAGCGCTGCACTTTAGATGACCGCTCCTAAGCAAAGCAGGGTGGACAACCCAGTCTTTGACGACTGTGAAATCCCAATGGGCTTTGGTGTCCCCACAGACTAGAGTCCTGAGGCCCTAGGCTCAGCGACTCATTCCCTCAAAGTGTCTGTTTATGCCTGAGAAGACTTGCAGCATATGTAAATACATATGTATAGTCTGTCAAACACATAGAGTTTAAGTGTAGTCCCACTCACTCTTTTGCGTTTGCTAAGTTGCTGTGCCTATCTGTGCATCCACTCGTAGACTAAAGCTGTCACCATCTTTGCGTGTGCAAACAAAGTGGATGTGAGTTCAAGCGAGTGGCCTTTTGGTTAGCCACCCAGTGCTTTACCTGGTGGCAAGAATGAGTATTCTTGTATTGAGATTGATATTAACATATGAAGCATCATCACTCCAAATCTGTTTCAAGGAGACAATGCTATATTTGGCCACATGAAAGAAAATACACTGCTAAAGAACTTTCTAAGCTTTTACATTTACGGTGGGTACACAGCGCCCTCTGCTGTACTTGATGAGGAAACTTCAATAAAGTTAACTGAATGGTCAGTGGTTTGGACCCACCAGTTGCTCTGCAGAAATCACATTTGGCAAAATGTTTCCGTAATAAGTCTTAAAACAAAACAAAACAAAAAAGATCTGACTGCATGACTCTGAGTCAAAACAAAATAGCCTGGGATTGAATTTTCTAAACCAAAAAGTATGGGAAAACTCTGAGGAACCTGCAAGTGTGGCTCGTGCAAAACAGAAAGGCCCCAAGAAGTTCATAGAAAGATGGAATTAAAACAATGCAATTTTCCCCACAATAGCTCAGAAGATAGTTAAAGGAACATAATTAAAACAAATCTCTCAGATTTTTTCAAGTTTAAGAATGTATAATAATTTGTACTTGTCTTGAAATAGTCTTTTTTTCATAATGTAATTGTATTCACACTACACCTGAAAATGGAAAACATTGATCCTTCTTACTGAGGATCATTTAAAATGCTAACAGCATGGTTTAACTGGATGAAGGAATTATGAACAAGAATATATCTCTTATGTAGATAAGCATTTGTTTTTAAAGGCAAATTTGGAGCACCCTCTAGTGGAAGAGAGGTAACAAGACACTTAAATCTTCTTTTTCCATACTCTTACAAAAGCAGAAATGGTGGTCTGAGCTGAAAAACTGTATGCGGTAGATTGTCCCCATCAACACCCACAGAGACACTCAAGGGAGCTGTTATCCAAGTTCAAGTGAAGAAGGTCTACTATTTATCAATTTTCCCAAGAAGAGGTGTGTACAATCTGTCAATATAGTACACGTGTAATGCTATTCAATACATTAGAGCAGTGGTTCTCTACATGTGGGTCACGACCCCTCTGGGGGTGATCCAACAACCCTTTCACAGGGGTCACCCAATTCGTAACATTAGCAAAATTACAGTTATGAAGTAGCAATGAAAATGACTCTGGTGGGGTGGGGGGTCACCATAACTGAAAGGGTCGAGCCCCACTGCATCAGGCGGTTCCTTTAGCTGTCCTATGTCAGCAAGCACATTCTGACCCGCAGCAACCCTCCAACGACCGCTGTGAAATTATGATAAAGAACAAGTGGAATCACCTTGTAACTTGATTTTCATGGTTAAACTATTCAAGCAAAAGGAGAGCTGAAAACAACACAGGAAAGTTCTTCCACATAACAGTGTTCTTTAAACACATTACGTCTTATAAACACCCTTTGTTACATTCGCTAATTGGCCATGGACCTCCACATCAAACCGAGAGCATGGCTTGCCCCTTGGTTACTACAGGGACTTTTGGCCTTCACGTAAAAGCAGTTCACATATACAAATTCTTCCACAGATAATTTCTTAGCTGCAGTAAATAAAATCTGAATATGTAAAGATTTACATTAAGTTAATTAACCAAGTTACTTTATTAACAGACAGGAGATGCTGTTGTGTTGAATTCTAGGGGTCTCAATTTAAGGAAATAGTAACAAAACATTAATGGACCTTACTCTTCTCTGAAAATCTATTTTCTGTGGAAGACTAAAGGAACTTCATAAGGAACAGGCACATAAATACTTGCTCTTTCATTAATTCAACAAGAATTTACAAAACACTTTAGCAAGGTGTTGTTCAGGCTGTGGAGAGGTCTGGTAACTAAAACTGCACGGACAAGGTGTCTACTCTCAGGGAGCTTACGTTCTGGATGGGGGTGATAAGAGGTCAGCAAAATGCACAAGGGCCAGGATTTCTACCTCTCCTGTTCACTTTGGTATTGCTCGCTATTTGAATAGAACCTAGCACATAGTTAGGTTCTAAGTAAGTATCTGTCGATTTAAATTAAAGGTAATTTCAGTTGTGATGAATACTATAAAGAGAATACAACAGTAATAACTAGAAAGCAATTAAGAGCGGTTGGCATGCGGGCTGTGTCATTTCAAATCAGAGAATCAGAATCCCTCAAAGTATGCCTATTCATGACTAAGACGACGACCAAAACCGGTCTTGCAAGGATAAGAAAGAAGAACTTACACAACAAACGAAAGAGCAGGGGGGTTTATCTGTGTTGGGCGTGGCATTTTCTAGAAACATGTTGATCACTGTTGGCAAGGTGTAGTAAAATACTCAGCTTGTGTCTAATTTTCTTAGGCAAGAAATGATAGTGCCTTTGACTAGGGTGACAACAGTGGAAATTATGGCAATTAATGACTGCTCTACTCAGGAGGGAGATAAGACTTACTCATAAATTTGATAAGTATGGATGAGGTATTAAGAATCACTCCTAGCTTTGGGGCCTGAACATTTGAGTGGGGAACAGTGCTATTCATTATTGGAAGAGAAAATGAGAATCCGATTTTGACAGCTGAAATGGAGGACAACTTTACAACTGACATTCATTATTAGAATCTCAAGAAGCAGTTGCTAAGTGATTGGGAAGCTAGTCATACAGTTTGAAGTCAAGCGCTGTCGTTTTCAATGTGCTTGAATAGAGGACGTTTTAAAGCCGTGGTACACAAGCATTCCCAGAAAGAAGGGGAATGAGCAATACAAACGTATAAAGAGAAAAGCAGCATATAAAAAATAGAAGTATTGTTCTAACATTCTACCTTGGCTAAGCTGTAAAACAAGAACTGCTTGGATACATTACAGGCTTTTCAACAAAGGAGACATTTCAACTCTAGAAGTCAGTCTATATGCAAGGCTGCCACTGAAAGAGTCTTAAGTGACCATGAAAGGTCATTCTAGATGTCCGCTAAGGACATTTAAGACTGTGATTCAGCTTCACTATACACCTGTTTCCGATTATAGATTCCAGAGTAGAAATTATTGGCATATAAAATGCTTGTCTATTGACAGTCGTTCTTTCTTACCTGTTTTTGTCAGCAAGAGATTATCCAAGTGCCTGTCTCCAACTCCAAGTATGTATGTAATCACACAATAGCCAGCTGCAGTAATGGTGCAAAAGAGTGAAAGAATTATGAAAACACAAGTGGATCAGGCTACGCATTTCACTGGATATAAAAACAGTAGCTGGTACTTTAACCGCAGTTTTGGTGCTACTTTTTTTATTTCCCCCACCTAAGTCCTCAAATTAAATTCACTGCTACTCCAAAAGTGTTTCAAGATATGCAATTCCACAGATTGATCACAGAACTGCACCTTGAAAACTAAAGCGACTTATTAATCTTAAATTTGATAGTCATAAAAAATTAGTTTCAGTAAAATGAGAACACACTGGAACACCATACACTGAGTTCTGCAGTGGAATTCATGTAGAAAACTTAGTTGCTCATCAATACTCGTGTAGATCTACTAGGGTAGAGCACGCATGCTGATAACGTGCCTACGTAGAATGCTAAATAGACAGTTGGAAAGTTTGAGTTCATTTAGAGGCATGGAAGAAAGGACTGGCAATATACTGCCCCAAAGTTAGCTCCTGAGAATCCTGAGCAGCACAGTTCTGCTCTTGTAACACACAGGGACTCACTCCAGTGTTTGGCATTGATGCCACAGTAACTGGCATTCAAAGAGGTAATATGAAAAGAATTACCTTATAGGATGCAAAATTTCACATCCTATATCATTGGGAATCAGATGCGATAAGATTTATGATGGCCAAAAATCTGTGACACTCCTCTTCCCTCATATTGATGTGGGCTCTCTGACCAATAGAATATAACAAAAGTGACAAGTTTCCCAGCACAGCCCTTCAGAGACCAATACTTTTCACTTCCTGTCTCTTACTATACCTGCTCGAGGGCCTTAGCCACCATGTTCTCCAATGCTCAAGACAGGGAGTCATGGTTGTGTAAGGTGAGTGAACTGACAACCCTATGTGAACGGAAAAACTGTCAGACACCTGAGTGATTCGTATCGTAAACATCCTCCCTAACTAAGACTTTAGGTGGGGCATGTCTTTTTTCTTTTAATTTACGGAAAATGGAGATTTGATGATCTGAGACAAACAGAAAAATAAAGAAGTTGGGGAGGAGGAAGAAAAGAGTACAGCGTACGAGAACAGGGGGATAAGCAATGGGAAATATGTTTCCTGAATGCTGTTTATAGTCTTTAAAGAAAAATATACTGTATGTGTTCGTTTTTCTACGCAAATACATTACATGTAAAATATGTTTAAAGACTTCAGACTATGAAAGATTCTAAAATATGTAAGCATATTTTATTAAAGTTTAGAAACTTCTCTGCAATATTAATTTTAAAAATATCTTTCAGTCAAAAAATATAGGAGAACATTTACAAAAATATAGGAGAGAGCTATAAAGTCCAAAATAACTTGAAACACTACCACACAGGAGCAGTGTACAAATAAAAACTATCATATACCAGACAGCAGATCCTCTACTGTAAAATAATATGCATTTTAAGATAGAACTATAGGCCTAAAGAGCCTTCATTTTGCCCCACCCCAGTTTTCACTGATTTTAAAATTTTATTTATTTTTAATTATTTTTTATAAATCATTTTATTGGGGACTCTTACAGCTCTTATAACAATCCATGCATCAATTGCATCAAGCACACTTGTACATATGTTGCCATCATCATTTTCACAACATTTCTTTTCTACTTGCTCCTCTTTTTTCCTCCACCTCCCACCCTTGCACCCCCATGAACCCAATAAATTATAAATTATTATTATTTTCATATCTTACACCATCCGCTGTCTCCCTTCACCCACGTTTCTGTTGTTCGTCCCCCTCGGGGGAGTAGGCATCGATCAGTGCAATTGGTTCCCCCTTTTGTTCCCTTCTCCCCCCACCTTTCCCCTACCTCATGGTATCGCTATAATTTTTTTTAAGGTGAAATCTTATATACTATACATTATTCAGGGCTCAACTCTATTGTCAATTCCTCATGAATCAGTCCTTAATCAGTCTTCTATAGTTCTATCTACTTTCAAATATCCCCTCTCATAAGAAAACTAAAGACAAAAACAAAAACTCTCTAGAATAAAAGCTCTATAAGGAGAGACAAACGTTTGTAGACTATAAATAAAGCCTTGTGACTTGGTGCTATTTAATTATTTACAAAACATGCTAATACCGAAGCAAAATATCTTATGAGACACTCTTTCAAGACAGCGCTGTTCTTAAATCTTGAGATGTTATCTACTGCATCACTGCTGCTGAGCCTTTTGCTTTAGACCACTGAACGGCTGCACAAACCTGCGCCCAACTGCTGAACTGAACTGTGCACAAACTTGCGCCCACCAAGGGATTACAACTCCTAGCAACCCTAAGAAACGGAACCCAACTGCGCCCCCTGGCGTTCCATGGCTGCCACAGCCTTCTCCTGTGGAAGGCCCAGTGGGTTCCCACCACAGACCTTTGGGGTAGCTGCCAAGTGTCTAACCACAGTGCTTAACCACTGCGTCACCTGGGCTCCTTTATCTGATTGCCATTATTCAAAAACTAGGAAGCTCAAGAAAAAAATTACAGATACCAGAAAAGGCAGCTTATAATGATCAAATATTTAAGTGATTGCCAAGACACAGCCACTAAAGACTAACTAGAATTTCTATTTTTGGCACTAATATTATGTAAAAGCATTGATGACCCTTTTTTTGACATTTTATATCTTCTACTCTTCTTCTGGACTTTAAATAAGGATGATCAAAGAAAACTGAAATGGATGAAGAATATGGAATACATCATGAACTGTCAGAAAAACAAACAAATCGGGCGTAGAGGAAATACGGTCAGAAGGCAGCAGTCCCTGGAGAAGGCCATCGCGCTTGCTTACGTGAAAAAGAGGGAGACGTCGGACAGGGCAAGATATGACAAAATAACAATTTACAAATTATCAAGGGCTCATGAGGGAGCGGGGAGGGGAGGGAGGGGGAAAATGAGGATCTAATGCCGGGAGTTTAAGTGGAGAGGAAAGGTTTTGAGAATGATGAGGGCAATGAATGTACAAATGCGCTTTACACAATTGATGTGTGTATGGATTGTGATAAGAGTTGTATGAGCCCCTAATAAAATGATTAATTAATATATATATATACTGAAACAGTGGCTGCAACAAAGGGCGCAAGCCAAGCAGCTCAATGAGGATGTTTCCTTCGCTTAGGCTCTTGGTGACTATGAATCAGCACCAGCTCCTCCGAACCTAACTACCTAGCAACATTCCTCTAATCACACATTTCAATGTTAATGTGTTAGAAGTCTATGTGCATACAGCACCAGCAGGATGGTCTGCTTTCCTCACTTCAACGCGCCAATGGACAGTCATAACCTGAGCTACTTACCACAGCTTTTGACGTAGGTGTCCATGACCTCAGCACTTATCCCATAGGGTCCAGTCTCACTAGGGGCGTATTTCCGAAAAAAGTTCTGAAAGGACACGAATGAGAAGTTTATTACATCAGAAAACAAATTAAGACATGTTGAAATGGTAAATAATAATTAACAAATTTATTTTAAAATGCAGTCAATACATTGTGAAATTTAGATTTTAGGATGTGTAAGAAAGGTTTTAAAAGTGAAGACATTTTCCCATGACTTTTTCAGTCTTTTCGGATTTTTAAGGCTATATTACAGATATAGCCCATGAAAGAAAGAAAGAAAGCTGCCATGTCCCTTCCACAGGGAGCACCAAAATGCATGAAGCACACTTTGTCTTGTCCTTCCTTCTCCCACAGACGAGCATGACTTTGGTTTCTGCTCTCTTGTGCTAACAGTTTTATTGGCATATAATTCACATATCATATATTCTGAAAGTGAAGTTTTTAAACTCTATTTTCATTAATAAGTTGAATGACATTAATTCCAAATTTTTAAAACAATTAAAAGGTAAGCAGTATGCGCTCTCAGAACTTGGAAGAAATAACAAATAGATGAATATTATGACAAATAGATAAATATTATGAGAAGTACCGACTGAACAAAAGAATTACCTGGGGAAAATCAAGGTAGTACAGAGCATCTATATGTACTACCATGGAAGAAATATCAATCTTTATGTCTGAGGAAAAGAGAAAAACTGAGGGAAGAACAATACTAAAAGATGATTTTTGTTATTAGTTCTATATACTTACAGCTACTTAGTTTTTATACCAATAATATAGTTCTGAATTTCACAAATCTTTAAAATACATACTGTACCTGAATGCTTCCTTCTGTATCAAGAACTTCAGCAACAGGAACTGACTGGATGAACTGCATGAAGCCTACACATAAATATATGTGAACATTAAGTATAGTTAGGAGTGAGCAATAAGAAAACTAAAGGTTCTACAAAGGCCTGTAAAACACTAAGTTTATACTGATACTGTGCCATAGTAACTACACGAAGAAACATTTCTGAATTAAGCCATCTTAAATCCATATATTTTATAGCCCAATTTTTATCCTTGCATATGAATAACAAGCAGCAACATTCAAAATTATTTGTGTTTTATCACGCATCAAGTTTCTTGCATCTGCAGTTTTATAACAAATTTAAAGATATAGATTAAAAATTACTCTAAAAACCCTGAAATTGTGGAAAACCAACCCAAGCCTAAAATTGTATCTTGTGTCTACCGTCTCCTTTTGTCTATTTACTGTTTTCTCTCTCTTCCTGGAAACGATACGCTCCTGTTGTTGTTAGATGCTGTTGAGCCAGTTTCGACTCATAGTGACCTTCTGGAAAACAGAAAAGAACACTGCTCTGTCCGGCAAAATTGTTGCTAGGTATGAGCCTAATGCCACAGTCACAATCCATCAAGTGGAGAGTCCTCCTCTTTTTCGTTGCCGCTCTACTTTCCCAAGCACACCTTTATCCCGGGTCTGGTCCTGATATCATGTCCAATGTATATGAGATGAGCTCTTGGCTTGGACCTGGAGAGGCCAGCACCAGCCAATTTCCCACGATGCCTAAGTTCAATGCCAAGATCAAAGTCATGTACACTGGTGGGGATGCAGGCTCCCCGTCCATCCAAAAAAGTGATTAGAATGTCAGCAGTGCCCAATACATGTCTTTCGCCAGAGAAGTCCCTGGAGCTATTAGACATATGCACTTTGTGGGCTGCATTCCTGGTCGCTATCACCCTCATGACATCTGAGGTGCCAGTCAATGGTACCATGGAATATGCAGATAACTAAGAATTACAAAAGATCAATAATCAACAAAGGATCTTATGATAAACGTGAAGAAACCAAAACAAAGTACATGGGATTTCTTGCCATTCTCATTTCTAAGGAAGAGTGCAGTTAAATTTGTAAGAGATTCATTTGTTCATTCTTCTGGCAGTCCACAGTTCACTCATTCTTCTTCACCGAGACTGCAATTCCATGCATCAACTCTTCAGTCTCACGTATTCATTGTCCAGTTTTTGAATGCACATGAAGCAAGTGAAAATACCAATGGTTTGGGTGCCATTTTTGCTTTTCAATAACTGAAAGAGATCTTCGGCAAAAAAATCTGCCTAATGCAATATGCTATCTGTTTCCTTTATGGCTGCTCTACAAACATTTTGGATCCAAGTAAAACAGAAGTACTGGCAACTTCAACTTTACTCCCATTTGGGTCCAGTGTGTGGATTTTTGTTTTCTCTGAGGTGAAATTCATATTGAGAGCTGCAGTCTTTGACCTTCACCAGTAAATGCCTCAAGTTCACTTTCAGGAAGAAAGGTTGTATCATCTGCCTATCATGTTGTTGAAAATATAGTATTAGTAGGAAAGAATAAACCCCAAGGCTTCCAAAAAGAAAGGAAGGAGAAGGTATCTAAGGAGAATGGGAAGTAGGCAAGAGTGCAGTTAAAGTTAAGAGTGCCTGGAGACGACAACAGCAGTGTTTGTTTTTTATTTTGTTTTTGAAAGTTGAATGAAAGAAACAAAGCTTGAGGATTAAATTGGATACCAAAAATTGGAGGATAAAGGCATGAAGCAGTTGCCTTACAAACTTTCATAGGTGGGGGAACATATTCTCAGGATTATAGGGTTAAGGTGTAGGCGTTATTTAATTGCAATTGTGAGGCTAAAGAATTATGTGCAGATGCCAAGTTTCAAGGGGTGGATTGAGATAGTTAAAGTTTATTTTTCCAACCTGGCTGATAAATACATGTGAGGTTAATTGAAGGGAGAGATAAATGGCTCAGTCAGCCTTGCCTTTCTAGTTCTCGGGTCTCTTGCTTTCTGATGGTCAGACCAGGGTGCAGCTGCCTTAGCCAGTTCCCTGCTTCAGATGGCAAGGCTCACTTCCTGCGAGACATCCCTGACGTGAAGCCACATGGACCTACCCTGATGCAGCCCTGGGTGCTGGAGCATCCATGTGGAGACCCCTGACAGCACTGAGATGCTTACACATTCACTGATTTGGCTTTCCTCCTGCAGTCAGCGTTATTGTGTGTGTTTTGTAAGATGGAGGACAACTTTGTGGATTGGTTTCAGACATATTGCCTAATGTTGGACTTGTGGGCTTGGGCAGCACTGGGTTGGGATGTTTTCTTGATGTGCACTTACCCTTTATATAAAACTCTCTCTTATACATATGAGTTTCTTTGGATTTGTTTCTCTAATTTACCCAGACTAACACAAGGATCATAAGCAATCGTGTTCCAGCGTGGGTGTCTGTTACATTAGAAGTACTTGGAGGCAGGGTAGGAGACTGAACAATGTGCTGGCAAAAAGTTCTCGGAAGAATTCCATTGTCTTTTACACGCATTTTCCCACAAACTTGTTGAAGCTTTCTCATATACTCATTTAAAGTAATGAAACTCATGTATTCTTATATCACATTACTGATAGTTTGCATTGCTTCTCTTGTCCGAAGACTAATAAAATTCAGTAAACAAATTTCTTCCAGAGAATAAAAGATCATGTTTAACCCTGATCAAAAGACCATTCTGAGGGGAAACTGAGGAGAAGAAATAAAGCAACAAGTCTGAGGGCATCAGGATAGAAACGAGGGGAAGGACAATAAAGCACACATTTCTGTTTCTCCAAGGTCTCTAAGAGTAAGAAGCTCTAAGACAAAGAGGAGGGTGGAGTTTGTAATAAGGATTAGGCAAGCATTCCCAAGGAACTTGGGAATAATTTCACCCAACTTTCAGAGGTGAAATTATTCGATCTCAAAGACTCAGATGGTATTGGTAAAAAACAAAACAACAGTTGATGTGCAGCATTGCTACTGAGACTATTAAAAGCAGAGCATAGTATATCAAGCCTCTCTAAGTAATAGTAATGTTTAATAATGATTTATAAGGTGAGATAACTATGTATGAAAATATTGAGTTGCAATTAGTTTGGATGCATGAAAACGCATCAAAGAGGGGTTACTTTTCCCCCCAAAGATTCTGTTTTGGGATTTCACAAGGTAATTAACAAGAAAGAAAATAAGCCCAACGGGTCCTCAGGGCGAGACTCTTCATTGAGAAGAGGAAGCGCACGTCCATTGAACAATGAAATCGCCACTCACGGTGTGAAGTAAACTTACCATGCTTTGTGCTAGTAGCTAAGACTTTATAGGGAGTCAACTTCAAATCCAGGTTTTCTTTCCTTAAGAGCTTCCAATCAAAAGATAAAACATAAAGACTGTTATGGCAGCTTTGCAAATAAAACAGCAGTTTCATGTAACAGATACTTAGGACGTAAGCCTTAATTAAGGCAATTTAATAGTTACTTGATAATGATAATCATAAAAAATAGGTATTAAACATTTACACGAATGAAGGCAGGCTAAACTTTTTCTTTAAATCATTGTCAATATTGTTCAAAATGGCTCAATAAACAGGGTTCTTCTCTGATTTATGTGCTCCATTTTGGACATCAAGTATTTTAGAAAACAGAAATCCTATTCTGTTTCATTTTATACTCATCACAGGAGCCATTATACAGTGTACAAATGCAACAGAGTTCTTTACGCTCAAGACTCAGTGGAAATTGTTGTACTTTTTAAAGATTATACCCAAATGTACTTTTTTTGGATACAGAATGTGTGCATTAAGTCAGAGTTTCAATATAAGGCCATACTTACCTTGTCCATGAGTGAAATGATTTGAAGAATAAGTTGATCCTGGCGTAAATCATCTCCATGCTTAAATATAACAGGATACTTGCCTCCATCTTCTGTCTTAAAGAATAACTGTGCAGGCATAAGGGCACTCTGGGGAATAACAAAAACTCTAGATGTAAATTTATATATAAAGATTTACTATTCTCAGAAGGAAACTGTCACATAATGAAAACAAGCAGATCAATAGTACCTAAATGAAACGAGATGGGTTGGTGGCAAGATACCTTAGGGTGCAATGAGAACAATAAGCTATCAAATAGTCCAAAGATTACATGCTGAAAGAAGTAGGCATTTTATGGTCAGACAGCCATAGGTAGGAATCCAGGCTCTAGCTGGATAATCCTCCCCTGTAATATAAAAGTACCAACTCGTCTGCATAGTTGCTGAAGTGATCAGAAGCAGGTCAAGGGTCTGACATCACGCTTGATACAGACAGGCAGTTACTCTAAGCATCCATGTCATTATTGTTTTTATAAGACAGAGAGATTGGAATAAAGAGGATTTAAAAGCACAGCAGAAAATTGTACTAGTTAGTCTCGTGGACAACTGCCCCTCCCCCCCAGAAGAATTTACTTGAGAAGACAGCACTGAAGCTGCAGCTAAGGGAGAGGGGCATGTCTGATCAGAGCAAATGGGAGCACTTAAGTGAGAGGCAGAGACAGTGAAGCACATCCTAACCCACCAGGCCTGGAGGAGGACACTCCTACTCTGAACAGCCAATGGACAGAGTGGTCAATATGGCTGATCCCACTACGAAACACGTTGTCCCTTGATGGCCCCCGGCCATCAAGGGGACAACACTGGAGACTGAGTGTAGGAACTGGCCCAGACTGACCCTGTGACACCAAGGCAAACCACTAAAAGAGTGCGACTGAGCAACCATGGGAGCAGAGCAGGCAGCCCCTGAGGGAGTACACAGGACAGACTCTGGGGTCAGAGCATGGTACCCCATAGGACCTGACTGAAGGTCACTCCTAGAGGTCAAGAATCAGACCTTGATTTATTTACAGGTTTCTCTTCCTTTTAAAAAATTCTTTCTTTTAATTAATTTATTCTTCTATGGGTAATTGGTTCCCTTTTTTATTGTTATCACTGTGTTCTCACCCATCGCCTATCTTGCTATGGCTTGGTTTTTGGTGCATATTATTATCTCTACAGATCTATCTAGATAAGATAGACTGGATGAATAGTCTGGAG